GTATGGCATCACGAGCTGCGATACGATTTTCGCTTCCGCGTCTCGTATACACGAGTTTTGTTGTTGCTTTGAAATTTTTCATGCAGCAAAAACAGACTATCTTTATTGTTTTGTTCGTGTATTGTTTGATATATTGAAATGTAATTCTCATTTTTGATAATGGCTTATGTAAGCCGAAAGCTTAGATGGGATTAAAACAACAAAAAAAAAAAAACGCCGACAGGAGAAGAAATATCATATGGTTCAACCCACCGTACAGCAAAAACGTAAAAACAAACGTAGGAAAAATATTCTTCAAACTCTTGCACAAACACTTCCCGGAATCAAGCACCCTACACAAAATATTCAACAAAAACACAGTAAAAATCAGCTACAGCTGCACCGAGAACATGGCACAAATAATAAAAAAGCACAACAGGAAAATTACCAACAAACCACACGAACAAATTAGACCCACGTGCAACTGCAGAATAAAGAACGAATGTCCCTGAAACGGAAATTGTTTACAAAACAACGTAATATACCAAGCTACGATAAAATCACCAGATAATGAAGAAAAACTATATATAGGAGTAACTGAAGGACCCTGGAAACAAAGAAATTATACACACAAAACATCTTTCACAAATAGTAAATATGCGAAAAGTAAAATGCTTTCTAAGTATATCTGGGAAAATAAAAATAAAACGCACATCACATCAAGAGTATCTTGGAAAATAAGAAAAGATCATCAGCCTACAACAACCAATCAAAAACTTGCAAACTTTGCTTGGAGGAAAAAATAGCTATCATTACTTTCCCAGACCAAAATAGATTATTAAATAAAAGATCCGAGCTCATCTCAAAATGCAGTCATGAAAACAAATTTTTACTACGTTACTTAAAAATTGAAAACGGAAAAAATAAAATAAAAACAAATAAATAAACAAGTAAACAAAATAACAATAAAATAAGCAAAATTAATTAATCCAAACAAATTACCAAATCACACCTGTTAGAATAGACGAAATAGAATAATAATAATAATACCAAAAAACAAAACAAAAAACAACGAACTCAAATAAATAAAGTAAATAATAAACAAAGTAGCAAACCATTATGACCAAAATATTGGTTAGACTAAAAAATCAAACCAAAAAATCGGACGAAAAAAGTAGCTATAACTATTATATAACGAAAATAAATAAATAAAATAGAATAAAAAAAATATATAAAATAAAATAAAAATAAATAAATAAATACTACGTTACCTAAAAATCGAAAACCGAAAAGAAAATACAAGTAAAATAAATTGAACTAAATTCATCCAAGTAAATAAATAAACAAACCAATCCCGATAAAGTTACCGTTAGAAAAAACAACAAAGATAATCAACCCAAATAAACACAAATTAAAAACTGTTCTGCCAAAATAATAGTTAGAATAAACTACAACAACCAACCCCAAAAACCGAACAAATAGCTTTAATTAAATTCTCAAACCAAAACAAAAACTATCAAATAAGTGATATAAACAAATTTTACTACGTTAATAAAAACACCGAAAAAATAAATAAATAAATAAATAACAAACAAAAATAAAAATAAATAAAATCAAGCAAAATAATTTAACCCAAATAAATAAATAAACGACTTCCGGTAAAATAACCGCCATAATAGACTACCCACAATGCACCAATGACCCGTATATATATAAATAGCCGAGAAAATAACAGCATTTGACGATTGCATATAGCATGAAACAGATTGTCGCCTCATGTTGACATATATGTTCACTTTTATATTTATATATATATATATATATATATATATATATATATAATTAAAAAAACAGACCACTTTAAGGTTCCCTTATAATAATTTATTTCACCAGAGCCCTTTTAAAGGACGCCGGATCATCAGATAGCACTTCCAAAAGATGAAAAAAAAAATGAAAATATATATAATTTTATTGTTCTCTTTTCATCATTTTAGAGATGGACATATAAGTATATACATAAGTATGGCTCTTATTCTGTCACTGTCTATCTTGAGTGGCTTTTATGCAATTTACGGTGTAAAGAATTAAATTAAAATAAAAAACAACGTTTTTTTGCCTTCCATACTCATGTCTAGACAAACTTTTAAATTTATAAGTCTACCATTCTTCCATGTATTGAATAATGCTGTCACATCTGTCAGGTCTGATACTTCTACTTCATGTATTTAGAGATTCTTCATAAAATCCATAAATCCTGTCCTGGCATCTCGCTTTCAGTGACTTTCCCATTGCTGTAATGTAGCTTCCTCTGCCTTTTCTATAAATATGTTCTTTTTTTTTTATCATTTCACACAAACAAGGTGATGATGCCAATAAGAAGCTACTGGGAGTCAAAGGAAATAAAAAAGAATGTACAGAGAACCCAACCCTACACATTAAATAAGGGATAAATCTCTACTTCTTTTTTTAACAGATGGAGGAGAAGTCAGAACCGAGCGACAGGCGAACCTATCTACTTCTATTTGGTAATAGTTCTGACGCGCTTTCAACATTTTACAATTGAATTTTTTAATCATTTCACCCCGAGCAAGACACTAGAGCCACTAATTTGCAAAGGAATACTGAATGTGACAGGATATATAGAAAAATACTCCATTAAGGAGAGAGGACATTAAAAGAACAAACCTTAAGCAGACAGTAGATTACGACTGACATTGCATATAAATTTTTGAAGATCAAAGTTGACTGGGAAACAAGAAGCCAAAAGAGATTTACACAAGCGAGAATTGAGAAAGAAGAAGCTGTTAGAACTTACGATTACATATCGCTATTTCAGCTCTAAAATGATGAGACCTTGCCGCCATTCTAGTACTGCGCTTAAATTCATAAAGTCTAGGTACTATTGAGCAAAGTCCGTCAGAAAAATTACCAGGAAAGTATTTATATTTTACAGGGAATCTATGTTACTGTGGCAAGAAACTGACTGAAGCTGAGAGGCCAGGTTCGGACTAATAACATTGTAGATTGTTTGGATTGTATTACGAATCTCTAAATACATAGCAGAAGCACCAGACCATATGTGGTATCAATATTCAAAGCATGAACGAATGATAGACTTATAAATATGTAAGATAGATTTTGACGAGAAAAATTGTCTAGCACGATACAGTGAATCAACTTTCCTAGCAACAGATCTAGCAATTGATTCAATATAACCTTTCCACTTCATGTCAGCTGAAATGTTATTCTGAGAAAGCTCAATGAGTCCCTCTCATGAAGGTTAGAATCAACCATGATAATGGAAAGTAAAAAGGGTTCACTCAGATCATTGATAGAAAGCAGCTTCGCTTTTGAGGCGTTAAACGTAACAAGCCACTCCTTGCCCCATTTAACAACAGATTGTAGGTCGTTTTTGAGACCAGCTGCCAATTTGACCTCATCGAACCTATCAGATTTTACTATTTAGACGGGAGGAAATAGTAAATAGTCATCAGCAGAGATAGCGAGTTGAAAAAGTAATAACATCAGGAAGATTGTTGAAGAAAATTAGAAACAACATCACTTCAAGGATACGACCTTGCAAACAAATGCAAATTACAAATAACGAACATTATCTATGAGTTCAAATTTCCCTTAAGGAACTGTGTTCCTTATCAAACCGGACTCATAAATAATTACATCGGTTACACAACTACATGCTTATCCAGACGTCTTACATTACACCTATCTGATCACAGCGCCGTTAGAACACATTTAAACACACACACAAACTTACCAGACTCCATTAGAAACGGACTAGTAGAAAACACAAATATATTAACTGCATCCACCTGTTAAAAAAGACTAAAAGTAATGGAGCTTTAATAATAAAAAAGAAAAAGCCAACTCTTAACAATATTAACTACGAACAAAGCCACAATGTGCTAACCGTATTCGAAAATTAAAAACATCCCTACCACACACTAAGACATACACATAATGCACACACTCAATTAAGCTGAAAAATCGAATCATTCTTGATGTGGGCTAAAGGTATAGACGAAAGCGCTCGGAAATATAAAACATTTGGACAGTTCTTACACACCCTTTGTGCAGAAAAGAAAGCTCTTGTTAGAACACAAGAAAAATTAAATAAAAAGCTCAACCGTAGTACCTTGTCTATCGTTTTTAATGAAACATGCATAAACGAAGGATTGCTGCCTAAATATACAACTATATATATATATATATATATATATATATATATATATATATATACTGGACTCTGTCGTTGATTTCCCATATAATAGTATCAAGCAACTCAATTACTAGAAAGCGACAACCAGGCCACCCGCACAGATTATTTGATTATAGTTGTGAAGGCTTTGTTCAAAACCAATCTCACTTTTTAAAGAGCCGAATACAGAGACCTGGTGCACCGTGTGCCACAAGGTCTCCAAATGATCCCCCCTCCCAGACATACAGCACACGTTTTGAATTCAGAGTTAACATTCTTCTAGACTAGTTGCCATCCAAGGCTATAAAACACAGTCTGTCCTGTTATTTACCCATAGCAGGGGGTGAAGAAAAGGAGGATTCATACCTTCCCCAAGGGTGGCATCTATATAATGCTTGAACGAAATCTTCAGGCCATGACCTGAACACATGGCCTGAGGACTGCGTTCATTCTTGAAACAGACTGTTGCCTCATGCTTTTAAGCTCAGTGCCCACTATATTTTTCTATGTATATAATGTAGTGCATATATATATATATATATATATATATATATATATATATATATATATATATATATATATACGCTCATTAGATATATATTTCTTCTAAAAACCCCAAAATTAAAGGAACGTTTAAATCAAAATCTTCTATTATTCATTCATATAAATATATGCATAAATAATTCATGAAATTAAAATGAGTTCGATGCGCTGTGTAAATCACTATGCATGTGTATGCATCTCTGTGTGTGTCAGTATATGTAACAAAAGCTCATATGTTCCTTTAAATTTTTATCTATCTCAGGCCGGTCATATCTATCTATCTATCTATCTATCTATCTATCTTCATTATATAGTTTGTGTGACTATCTATCTATCTATCTATCTATCTATCTATCTATCTATATATCTCAGTTTCTTCATTATATGCCTGTCTGCCTCAATCCCTTGATATCTATCTATCTATCTATCTATCTATCTATCTATCTATCTATCTATCTTCATTATATACTTAGTGTGGCTATCTATCTATCTATCTATCTCAAATTCCTCATTATATTCATGTGTGCCAATCTATCTATCTATCTATCTATCTATCTATCTCATTTCTTAATTATCTATCTCAGTTTTTAATTATATATCTGTCTGCATCTATCTATCTATTGATATCTATCTATCTATCTATCTATCTATCTATCTATCTATCTATCTCAGTTTCTTTCATTATATGCCTGTCTGCCTCAATCCCTTGATATCTATCTATCTATTCATCTATCTATCTATCTTCATTATATACTTAGTGTGGCTATCTATCTATCTCAAATTCCTCATTATATTCATGTGTGCCTCTCTGTCTATCTATCTATCTATCTATCTATCTATCTATCTATCTATCTATCTATCTCAGTTTCTTAATTATATATCTGTCTGCCTCAATCCCTTGATATCTATCTATCTATCTATCTATCTATCTATCTATCTATCTATCTATCTATCTATCTATCTGCCTTTCTTCATTATATGCCTGTGATATCAATCTATTGATATCTATCTATCTATCTATCTATCTATCTATCTATCTATGTCCTCGTCTTCGTATCTATCAACCCATTTATCACCGCCATTTAATAAGCTTCTATGCCAAGTTCTTAAAATTTAATTATGTCTGCTTATACCGTTTTTTATAAAGTGATTCTAACCTAAATCACGTCATCATTATCTCTTTCTTGTTAAGGGCACCTACCGTAGTACGATTATTAGCAAACTCGTCTTGCAGAACAAGTTGTTCATTTGAAGTGTTCCATATTTGCTCGGCATACCACAGCTGTAATCTTGCCCACGACCAAATAAAACTTATTAAATAAATTTCGGTTCTCTTCTGTCTCAGTCCGTTTAGATTTTTTTTTTTTTGGCTCAGTTCGCAAAGCTCAAATTAAATCGGTCGGGATATATATTTTACTAAATGCTTTTTTTGTTCCTTAAATGGGTTCAGAGCTGTTTCTCTCTATCGGAGCGGATCGGTTAAGCAAGCTTGTCTCATAAAACAAATTGACAGTTTAGTGAGTTCGAACGTTTCTCAGTGTCCTACTACGATGTCAATATGTTCGTATCTATCTATCTTAGTCTATTACTCTCTCTCTCTCTCTCTCTCTCTCTCTCTCGCTATCTGTCTGCCTATCTATCTTTCTCAGTCTATCTATCTATCTATCTATCTATCTATCTATCTATCTATGTCAGCCTATTACTCTCTCACTATCTATCTATCTATCTACCTATCTATCTCGGTCTATTAATCCCTCTTACATTATCTATCTATCTATCTCAGTCTATTAATCTCTCTCACTATCTATCTATCTAACTATCTATCTATCTATCTATCTTAGTCTATTAATCTCTCTCACTATCTATCTATCTATCTATCTCAGTCTATTGCTTTATTTCTCTCTCTATCTCTCTCTCTCTCTCTCTCTCTCGGTATCTATCTATCTATCTATCTATCTCAGTCTATTAATCTCTCTCACTATCTATCTATCTATCTCTCTCTCTCTCTCTCTCTCTCGGTATCTATCTATCTATCTATCTCAGTCTATTACTTTATTTCTCTCTCTCTCTCTCTCTCTCTCTCTCAGTATCTATCTATCTATCTACTTATCTGCCTGTCTTCTTTATTCTCTTCATAGCTATATTTTTTTGTTTTGTTTTTTAATCAATTCACCCCGAGTAAGGCGATAATACCACGAAAACGCAAAAGGTTACTGGGAGTGAAAGAGAATGAAAAGACTTTAGAAAGAACCGGAAACCCAATCTTAAATAGGAAACAATGGATGCACATCTACACCTGTTCAAAAGGCTGAGGAGGAGTGTGAACTGGATTATAGGCAAACCTATCTACTCCTATTGAAGAAATAAAGAAAGAAATAGGAAATAAAATTTCAGAGTTTTAGTAGAAACATTAGAAGTATAAATCTGAAGTAAACTTTAAAGGGAAACGGAAACACAATCCTGAAGAGAAAACAAGGGATAAACCTCTACTCCTGTTCAAAAGATGTGAGAAGAGCGTGAACCGGACAAACCTACCTACTTGGAATTTTATAGAGACGGTTCAATCATTAACAGAACTCTTCAGTCCAAAAACATCACTGTTCCACAAGCGTTGGAAATGAATGAATCCCACCCGCAAAGAAGACGAAGATTATACTACTTCCGCAAGTGTAGTCAATAAACACTGCGATGATTTCAAATTGGCAGAGTTAAGCGCTAATAATTTTAAATGCCTAATTTGCGCCCAGGGTTTGATTTCAGCGAAAGACGCCGAAATACGTCGTAGGGTGCTCAGCAAGCTTGAAAACGAACTCGACGTTACTTTACAGCAGGTTGTCGAAGATTGCCAACGTTTCGTGAGCGTCAGAGAGGATTCGAAAAACATCGAACAGAGTGGCGTGGCTCACATTAAAAAAAATACGCCAAAGAAAAATTAAAAAGGGTCAACCCAAAAATAATAAAGTTACTTTGCCGTCAAGACAATGTTTCGGGTGTGGTCAATTACATTGATATAGATATTGTCCTTTTAAAAATAAAACATGTTTTAATTGCGATAAATTGGGGCACAAAAGTTCCCACTGCAGGATTAAGAACAAGACAAAAAAAAAGTTTTGTAAAAATGATCAAGTCTGATGAACCAGAATGTCGTAAAATCAGGAAATATATTGAAGTGCAAATATCTAACAAAAATATAAGGCTACACCTTGATTCGGGTTCAGACTTAACCATAATTAATTATCAAACATGGAAAAAACTGGGTAAGCCGACTTTGTTAAGAACGAACCGAATAGCTAAAAGTGTAACTGGCGACACTATTAAGTTTATGGGCGAACTTATAACGAACGTGTCATTCAAAGGTAAAACGTTAAATCTTAAGGCGTATATTATAAAGAATACGAGTAATTTGTTCGGGACTGACTGGTTAGAACAGTTTCAACTTTGGGATATGCCTATTAACTCATTATGTCAAAAAGTCGAAAATTTGACTGACGAAGCAGAAAAGTTGAAAGGTGAACTTAAAAAAAAATTTCCGGCGTTTTCAGTGAAGGACTAGGAAAATGCACAAAAATGTCTGCTAAGTTTGAGTTAAAGCCAGACATAAACCCAGTTTTTAAGAAAAAACGTAACGTTCCATTTGCCTCGTTAAATCAAATTGCCGAGGAGTTGAATCGATTTGAGGAAATGGGAGTTCTGGTAAAGGTTGAGTATAGTGAATGGGCATCTCCCACAGTTTATATTTTAAAAAAAAAGAGCAAAGAAATTAGTGTATGTACCGACTTCTCTACGGGGCTGAACAGCGCCCTAAAGGATCACCATTATCCCCTTCCAAGTCCAGAGAAGATATTCGCTAAACTCAGTGTAGGAAAATATTTTTCTAAGATTGACTTAAGCGACGCATATCTCCATATCGACATATCGACTCGGAATGCTCGAAGCTCCTTTGCATAAACACCCACAAGGGTTTATACAAATTTTTAAGACTTCCGTTCGGGGTTAAGGTCACCCCTTCCATTTTTCAACAGGTCATGGACACGATGTTAAATGCTCTGGATTTTGCGATGGTCTATCTCCATGATGTCCTAATGAAAAATAAGAGCATCAAGGAACACAAATCGCACGTTTGGCAGGTGTTCAGGAGACTCCAGGATTACGGATTCAAATTAAAGGACGCGAAGTGTAAGTTTTTCTTAGAGAGAATCAAGTACTTGGGGCAAATAATTGACAAAGACGGAAGACGTCCTGACCCAGATAGGGCGACGGCAATAAAGAATATGCCAGCACCAGAAAATGTGTCGGCTCTTCAAAGTTTTTTTAGGTCTTGCCAATCATTACAAGGTTTTTGTCCCAAGAATGCACAGTTTGAGAGCTCCACTTAATGAATTATTGAGAAAAGATAAAGAGTAGGAATGGACAGCCAAATGCCAGGAAGCATTTGAGAAGATAAAGGAGGTCCTTACATCAGATCTGTTTCTGAATCATTACGATCCAAACCTTGACATCATTGTGATGCTAGCTCCTACGGCATCGGGGAGGGCATTTTACACAAGTTAAAGGATGGATCGGTAAAGCCAATCGCCCATGCATCTAGAGCGCTATTTACCAGCTAAAAGGGGTTACTCGCAAATAGAAAAGGAAGCCTTAGGAATCATTTTTTCAGTGACTAAATTTCATAGATTTATTCATGGAAGGTACTTTTTGTTGCAGACAGACCATCGTCCACTCTTTACTATCTTTGGATCCAAAAAGGGTCTGCCAACACATACTGCTAATAGACTGCAAAATAGGAAACCATTCTCCTCAATTATAACTACAAAATGGAGTTTCTCCCATCCACTAAAATCTGTCATGCAGACGGGTTGTCTAGATTGATACCTAAGTATGCTGAACCCCTGGAAGACACAGTCATTGCTGCCATAAGAACAGAGGTTGAAATAAAAAGTACCTTATGCAATATTGTCAGGGAACTTCCTATTTTGACAAGACAAAGCGTCCGATGATGAGTTCATAAAAAATGTAAATGACAAACTAAACAGTAAAGACCAAGACCCTGTAACGACATACTAATATACGAGACAGAGTAGTAATCCCATCTACACTACAGAAAAGAACATTAAAGGAATTCCATGTTGGCCATCCGGGAACTTCAAGAATGAAGAGTCTGATGAAGAGTTACGTCCACTGGACCAACATGGACAAGGATATTGAAAACACTGTAAGATCGGACAAAGGGTGTAATTTGGCTGCTAAAACACCCCCTATGAAATTCATTCCCTGGCCTAAAACCGACCGTCCGTGGTCGCGGAGATGCATTGATTTTGCTGGTCCACTTTATGGTTTTTACTACCTTGTAGTAGTTAACAGTTATTCCAAGTGGCCAGAAATATAGAAATGTAAGAAGCCGACCTCGGAGGTGAAAGTAAAGTTTTTGAGTATTTTCCCGTTTCGGAGTTATTGACTGCATCGTAACAGACAATGCCACACAGTTCACATCCTGTGAATTTAATGATTTTTGTTAGTCATTTCTGATCGAACTTATTACCATGACGCCATATCACCCAAGAAGTAATGGAAGGGCAGAGCGTTTTGTCGCCACTTTCAAGAGAGTACTGCGGAAGGCGTGAGGTACTCCCACCGATAACGGCTATAAAGCAGTTTTTGCAGGTCTATCGTGTAACCCCTAATAACAGTGCCCCATCTGCCAAGACGCCAGCGGAGGTTATGTTTGCCAGGAAAATAAAATCGGTATTTGACAAATTCCTTCCGAGTAAAACGAAAGCGGGAAATAGGAATAAAGTGCTTAAAAAGCGCTTTAAGATCGGTGAAAAGGTTTTTTTTCGTGTATTTGGGAATAATAAAGCTCACTGGGAGATAGGAACAATAGACAGACAAATTGGTAACATGATTTATATGGTCCAGGGACCGACGTTTTGTACACAAACGTCATGTAAACCAGATTAGAAAACGGTATGAAAGCGTAGTCGACAGGGATTCCATAGAAAATGACACTATGGACGTCGTCTTGGACACGTTTGAGGTTCCAATACAGCAATCAGAGCTCAGAAGGCCAAAAATAAAAACGAAATTTACGGAACCTTTAGAAATTAACCCGTAAAGATAAAAATATTGAACATCTTTCATTTTATCCCATGTCTATAAAAAAAGGAAAAAAAATGAGTAAAAAACCTATCTCCTCACTTATGAACTTTGAATTACCAGAAAAGCACAATACGCATGGGATTATTGGAAATTATTAACATCATAATTTACCATTAAACTTATCCAATTTTTCATTATTTAGGAATAATGAATAGAGACCTTAATAAAAACGGAGTGTTGTTAACACGTAAAATGCTTGTCGTAAAACTAAAAAAAAAAAACATTTATGAACGTAATCCCTGTTTATAGCTTTTTCAAAGTGGTTGTTTTTTTTGTGAAAACGGTTTATTTGATTGAACAAAAATTATTGTGTGGTAATTATAAAAAAAAAAATAATCCATAAGGAGTCAGGCTGAAAAATAGGGTGTTATGGTGTCCTCCCTCTAAAGAGTCTATGTTGGACTCTTCCGCCTACTATAAGATTAGTAGGAGAGAAGGCCTTGGGGGAACGGTCGCATAGATTGTTCAACTGTCAACTCTCTGCTTCGGCAGAGAGGAATTCGGACGAAGCTTTGCCGCAGAGCAAAGTTTCGTCCGGGGAGGTAAACAGGCCCTGAACGCGTCTAGGCGGGTTCAAAGGGATTATTTTTGGCCGAGCCTACGTTAAACTCGGCCTTCTGCCACATACATTCCTTGTGGGGGGGGACTGTTAAATATAACAGTCGAATAGATTGTTCAACTGCTAAACTCTCTGTCTTGAGCAGAGAGGAATCCGGACGACGCTTTGCCGAAAGGCAAAGTTTCGTCCGGGGGTGGGGGTAGACAGACCCTGAACCCGTTTATGCAGGTTCTAAGGAAATATTTTTGGCCAAGCCTACGGGCTTGGAAAACCCACGCTAAAATCGGCCTTGTGCCACATACATCCCACGTGTGTGTTGGGCTGTTAAATATTAACAATCGAATAGATTGTTCGTATTTGTCGAACTCTCTGCCTTGAGCAGAGAGGAACCCGGACGAGCCTTTGCCGAAAGGCAAATTTTCG